TGGCAACCAGAAGGGAGAGTTGGCAGGTTCAGTAATCCAAAGAGTGGCGCTATGAAGTTCCATCCTCAGAATAGCACCAAGGAAGCAAATGATTTGTGATGCTTAGAAGCGATTGTGAATATTCAACTAGAATTTAAGCTGAGGTGATTTCCCAAACAAATCATTACAGAGGAAATGTTTAAAGAGAGAAAATGTAAGGAAATAAGGAAAGGTGTTGCTAGACAATATTTACCCCAGCCCTGAGGCCAGACTGAGTTCATGCAACCCTAAAAATAAAGCAGTTCAGATGGTGAGTTTGGGCCTACTGAATCAGAGGGATTTCTGTGATTTGGATGTCACATCATATTTACAAGGCTTGTCCCTGTGGTGCCATTCACTATATGGAATTTTACATTAAAAAAATTAAGAAATAAATTATTAACATAGAATCTGACACACGGGTGGTAGCAACCATCCAAATTGGCATATTAATGTCTGCAACAGTTGGATGCTGGACTATAACACCTACTGGCAAAGTTTGGGATTACATCTCATCACAGACCACTTATTATTCGTGCAGTCAGTATAGTCCCTCAATAGTTATCAAGTACTTATTGTGTGCCCAGCATTCTTCTAAGCTCTGGGGTTACAATGGTAAAGAAAGACTGACACATTTTTGTCCTATGAACAGAAAGCATATTGAGGTGAGACAGACAGATATAATCAAATTAATATATAAGACAATTTCAGATAGTAGTAAGTGCTATGAAAATTAACAAAATTTAGTAATGTAATAGAAAACAGAGCTAGAGGGCGAATGGTGGGACTGCTTTACTTGGGGTAGTTATGTAAGATCTGACATTGGGATGAACCCAGAATGAGAAAGAGTGAACCATACAGAAACCTACATGATCAACATTGCAGGAAGAGAAGACGTCAGGTACAAGGGGCCTGAGATGGGAACCTGTCTTAGTCCATTATGTGATGCTGTAACAGAATACTACAGACTGGTTAATATATAATGAGTAGAAATTTGTTTCTCCCAGTTCTGGAGACTGGGAAGCCTAAGGTCAGACAGCAGCAGGTTTGTTGGTGAGGATCTGGCCTCTGTTTCCAAGATGGCACCTTGAATGTTGCAGTCTCTGTGTTGGGGGGCGGGGGAGGAATGCTGTGTCCTTACATGGCTGAAGGAAGAAAGGAAAAGGGTACAAACTGCATTCCCTCTTTCAAACCTTTTTATAAGAGCACCTAATCCCATTCCTGAGGAAGGAGCCCTTATTGCCTAATCACTTCTTCAAGGTTACATTTCTTAATACTATTACATTGACAACACCAGATTTTGGAGAGGACACATTCAAACCACAGCAGAACTCGTTTTATGTGTTTGGGAAACAGAAAGAAGGTTAGTAAGACTAAGAGTAGAGAGTCTAGGAGAGCATGGCAGAAGACAAGATCAGAGAAGTATGTAGGAAACGAACCATAGTATTGTGTGCCAGTACCTGGGAGGCTGAGGTGGGAGGATCCCTTGAGGCCAGGAGTTCAAGGTTGCAGTGCACTCTAACTGCACCTGTGAATAGCCACGGCACTCCAACCTGAGCAATATAGCAAGACTCTGTCATTTGGGGTTTTTAAAATATGTACATAGGGGCAAAATTAGGATTAGAAGTTTGGATTTTATTTTAAATGTCCTAAAAACAACACTAGATGGCTTTCAGAAGGAAAGTGACAGATATTATTTCAGGTTTCAGATGATCATCCTGGCTGCTATGTGGAACATATAAGCAAGGAAGTTTAGCCAGAGGCTGAGCAATTGTCCAGGCGAGAAGTTATGGTGGCACTGGTTATGGTGGCATTTATTTTTTGTATAGAGGTAGAGATGGAAGAAAGAGGTCAAATTTGAAAGAGATAAGAGGACGGTTTTAAGGATTTCTAAGTATAGGATCACAACACATTGCTTTATACTTTAGATTTGCAAAATTAATATTTGACCTAAGTATTTTACTAATACTTAGTAAATACTTAGCACTAGACTCAACTGTCTCCTTCCAACACCGCTCCAACCCATTCTAAATTTCTCTAAAAACTAAGTACCTATTGCCAATAGAATACAAATTAAGAGGCTCAATTCAACTATCAAATGAGCCTGTTTTCAAATTTTTATTATACCAATTAGCAGTCCCGAGGTCTTTGGCAAAGTATTAAATTTCCTGAGCCTCAATTTTATTAACTGAAAATGGAGATAATAATAGGAGCCACCTCACAATTGTTGTGGGGCCTAACTCATATGGTGTATGTACATAGCCCACTTGTAGACACGTAACAAATACTCAATACACATTAACTAGTAATCTTCTTAAAACTTCTTGTAAGTGGAAGTAGATGCCTTATCATTATTGTCTAATCTATAAGACACGTAAATGTCTGGTCAGACTTGCATATTCATAGAGCAACCTTGAAATTTTCAAATTGCCAGAAGTGTAGCTTTTATTTTTTTCATTTTTAATTGATGTACAAATAACACATATAAACTGCATATATTCAAAATTTGCAATTCAATTTTTTTTGTATAAGTATATAATTGTGAAACCATCACCATGATTGAGATGATGAACACGTTCACTGTCTCCAAAAGTTTCCTCATGTTCTTTTGTGGCACCTCTTTGTCCCTCTCTGCAGCCCCCGCACTAGCCCCTAGGCAACCAATGATCTCTTTCTGTCACTCTAGATTGGTTTCCATGTCCTAGAATTTTATGTAAATGAAATCATACAGTTTGCAGTTTTTGTTGTTGTTCTGGCTTCGTTCACACAGTCGTGCATTCCTTTTAATTGCTGAGCAGTGTTCTGTTGCATAGATGCACTACAGTTTGTTTATAACTGCTGATGGACATTTGGATTGTTTCTAGATTTTTATTATTACAAACAAAGCTGCTATGAACATCCATGTATAAATCTGAATGTCATGTCTTATTCTATGCTGCTGTAACAGAACACCTGAGAATGGGTAATTTATAAACAACAGAAATTTGTTTCTCACAGTTCTGGAGGCTGAGAAGTCCAAGATAAAGACACCAGCATCTGGTGAAGGCTGCTCTCTGTTTCCAAGATGGAACCTTGAATGCTGTGTCTTCAGGAAGGGAGGAACGCTGCGTCCTCATGTGGAAGAAGGAGGAAGAGTAAAAAGAGGCTAACCTCTGTCTGTCAAGTCCTTTCGTAAGGGCATTAATCTATTCATGAGGCAGAGCAGTCATGAGCTAAACTCCCAAAAGACTCCACCTCCCAACGCTGTTCTATTGTAAATTAAGTTTCTGTGTTTCTTCTTTTTAGAGAGAATGTCTCATTCTGTCACCCAGGCTTAGGGGCAGCGGCACATTCATAGCTCACTGCAGCCTCCAACTCTGGTTCTCAAGTCATCCTTCCACCTTAACCTCCTGAGTAGCTGGGACCACAAGCATATGTCATCATGCCCAGCTACTTTTAAATTTTTTTTTTTTTTTTTTTTTAGAAATAATGTCCTGCCATGCTGCCCAGGCTGGTCTTGAACTCCTGGCCTCAAGTGATCCTCCCACCTCCATCTCTAACATGTGACTTTAGGGGAATACATTTAGACCATAGCATGTGGATATATGCTTTCATTTCTCTTGGGTAAATACTTAGAAGTTAAATGGCTGGATCTTATGGTAAGTATATGATTAACTTTTTAAGTAACTACCAAAATGATACAACTACATTTTCCAAAGTGGTTTTGTCATTAAAGTGGTTTTATCATTTTACACTTCCACTAGCAATGTTTGAGAGTTCCACTTGTTCCAGTATTTTGTATGGCCAGTCTTTTTAATTTTAGCCATTCTGATAGGTGTATAGTGATTTCTCATTGTGCTTTTAATTTGCAGTTTTGTAATGACTAATGATGTTAATTAAGCATCTTTTCATATGCTTACTTCTTTCTTCTCTGAACTGTTTAGATAATTAATTGCCTCTAAGAATTCATTAACTTCTCTAGGCTATCATAAGTAAATAAAGAATTAAATAGATTATAAGTAGGCAGGAAGGTAGGTAGGTAGGTGGATGGATGGATAAATATATTGATAGATAGACAGAGAGATAGAGAGATAGATAGATAGATAGATAGATAGATAGATAGATAGATAGATAGACAGACAGATAGACAGATAGATAGAAATTTGAGTTCCTATCGTGTGCCAGACATGATTTTAGGCAATAAGAATAGAGTGCTGAATGAGACAAAAATTCTGCCCTTATGGGATTTCTATTCACATGACAGAGACAGGAATAAACAATGTAATAAAATGTTAGAAATACATAATTATTATGAAAAAATCCTTGAATAGTACACGATGACAGATAGTGAAGGGATGAAGCAGAAATGAAGCAACATTTTAAGATGATTTTAGACTGTCACATTTATTACCTGCACTTCCTGGGAGGCCCTCAAGAGCACTGTACAGTACTGCTCTGTGGTACTATGCACCATGGATTATGCTCAGTGCAGATTTGTTAATTATTCTGAGTCCTCTGTCCCCTTCACAAGGGTGGGGTGTCTTGGTTCATTTGGCCTGCTATGACGCAATACCATAAACTTGGTGGCTTATAAACAACAGATATTTATTTCTCACAGTACTGGAGCCTGGAGAGTCCAAGATCAAAGTGCCAACAGATTTGGTGTCTGCTGACGCCCACTTTCTGGTTAATAGGTGGTGCCTTCTAGCTGTGTCTTCACATGGTAAAGGGCCAGGTAACATTCTGGGGTCTCTTTCATAAGGACGTGAATCCCTCATGACCTAATCACCTCCCAATGGTCCCACTTTCTAAGACTATCATTTTGGGAGTTAGGTTTCAACATATGAATTTTGGGAAGACACAAACATTTGACCATAGCAATGGGGCTCCTCCCATCTGTCTTGTTCCCTGATGAATCTCTCACTTGTGGCTGAGGGTCAAGAACATGGTAGGCATTTGTTTAATAGATATCAATTAGATAAATTAAGGAAGGAAGAGAGGAGTGAATGGTACATAGTAAGAATGTGACGTGCAGGGAGAAGTCAGTACCAAAAGTGAGGCAAGAATTCAGACTTACCAAGGCCTCTTCTGCCAGCTTCCTCTTCTTGGCAGAACACCTGTGCCACAGCTCATCCAGACAGTTGTGTTCATCCCTTTTGATCCAGATGAGATGCAGGTGCTCTCCTGAGTATCTTTGTCTCCACCATAGAATTGTTTGATTCCAGGTAACATCAGTGGCTCCAAACCCTCTCCTTGTGACCTTACTAGGTGGCATTTACCACACTCTACATCATGAGTGATGTGGGAATTATGCTTCTTGAGATGAGAAAGAAGCCCAGATCATCAACTTTGTAACCCTCTCGGCCCCATTTCAGTATCAGATACATAGAAGCTCAGTAAATATTTATTGTCTTAAATTGAATCCTAAGTCCCTCTAAATGATTCAAGATGTCAGTGAAATACCCTTCACCATTCCAAAAGGCAGAACAAGAGGAAACATCCTATGTTCCTGAAGCACGAGTAATTGGACTTAAGAAAAATTTTGATTTGGGTCCTCTAAGTTGTTTAAACAAACTCATTCATGTAATTTGTGTTTGGTAATTTTTGAAAACAGGAGACATTTTCAGTCTGAAATAATTTTGAACTGTTCCAAAGAAGAGACAGAGGCATGGATGAGATGACCTTTAAAAGTTGCTTGCAATGTGTTCAAGATGCAATGTGTCACTTGTTTATTTGTATGTGACATCCTCAGTGAGCTCAAATTCCAAGTCCACAGAGCTGCATGGGCCACTAGAGTCCTCCGAGGCCCCTGGGAAGCTGCAGATCCTGCCTCCCTGTCTCAAAGTTTACAGCCACTGCAAAGGTCAGGAATTGTGGTCCTCACATGGAAAAGATGAGACAGCCAGGGAGCAGGCAGGTTTGCAACCCAAAGCTCCCTTGAGGAACACGGAGCAAAGCCACCAGCCAAGGCGTGTTGTTTCCATCATAATGTGTGCTGCACAGTGTGGAAGAGGTTTATGGTGGCCCTGGCCTAGAGCTGTAAAGTTTATTTCTGCACATTAGCCAGTCCATTGTCCCCTGCCCCCAATACCTCTTTCATCTTCTTTAGGTAGACTTGTCAGGATCCTCTTTTAAACACAAGCCAACTTGGGTGGGACAGAGTTTGTATATCAGCACCTTAATAAATGATCTTCTTTTAAACACAAACCAACTGGGGCAGGGCTGCTTGTGTATCAGAACCTTAAAGAAGGCACTAATGTGGCACCCATGGTATCCTAGCCTGTCTTCCTCATTATCTACTGTATTATGAGAATCTAAATAATCTCAGCCTCTCCTGCCTGTGCACTGACTCTGAGGATGCAGTGAACTAACAATAGGTAGAATCATTGCAGACGAAGGGTAGCATCTTTGTATTGCATGGTGTGTTCGGGAAAATGAAGCATTGTATCTGTGTTCACATTTTTACTTCTGCAAAATGCTGTGTTTCTCCCCAGGCCATGATCCCTGAATCTGAGGAAAAATATTTTAATGCAATTGGGAAGTAAGGGGGAGAGAAGAAAAAATATGGTGCAATATTCTCATCCAGAAGATGGGGATAAAATATCGTCTTCTTTATGGGTATTTTGATGATTAAATTGTAAGATCCACATAAAGAGCTCAACACAGAAACTGGTACCTGGAAAGTGATCAATAAATGTTACATAGAATTATTATCTGCTATAACTGTTAGACCCAACTTTCTGGGAAGTCCACTGGACATGGAGGGAGGGAGAGGGAGATGAAATGGTAGGAATAAAAATAATACAAGTGAGAACACATTTCTTGCTGAGAGGCAATGTAACGTAGCAGAGAAAGTGCTAATGTTGAGTGCTAGACGAGCCTGATATGTTGTGGGAATGAAAGGCAGGTGAAGAGGGAACACTCAATACATGTTGGTTCATTTTTCTTGCTTCCATCTTTCACTTCACTAATTTGTTCTCAATAGGGAATACTTTTTGTCTGAAATTACTTCACAATTCTTTCATAACTAGGTTCAAATCCACCACTATTGATTTTTTCTCTCTCTTAAGAGATAGGGCCTTATTCTGTCTCCCAGGTTGGAATGTAGTGGCACAATCCTAGCCTTGAACTCTTGGGTTCAAGTGATCCTCTCAACTCAGCCTCTCAAGTATCTGGGACTAAAGGTACATGCCCACTAGGCTGAGCTAATTTTTTAAATTCTTATTTTATTTATTTATTTTGTAGAGATGGATGCTTACTTTGTTGTGCAGGCTGGTCTCGAACTCCTGGCCTCAAGTGATCCTCCCACCTCAGCCTGCCAAATAGCTGGGACTACAGGCATGAGCCACTGCCCCGGCCCCTGATTCTCTTTTAATTAGGACAATCCTGGTTTCCAATGCCCGTTGTGCTGTTTATTAAGCATATGGTCTTGTGTATGTGACTTAACCACACAGGGGCTAAATACCTGATATATAAAATAGAGATATTAACCCCTATACCAGAGGGTTATTAGGATGATCATATGAGATAACACATGGAGAGGGCTTATCATACAGTGGTACTCAATAAATGGTATCCTTGGTAGATTTCCCTAAGCACAGCTGGCTTGCAGGAGTGACTGCTAAAACAATTACCTTGGCTAGCATTTATGGGATTTTTACTAACAAAGAGGAAAAATAATTTGCTTCATCTAAAATGTTGACAAGTGAGCTATAAATGAAAGAAGATGTGTGCACCCTAGAGAGGGAGGGCATTCAGTTTCTCTGTGCTCCTACAGAGGTTTGTCTCCATTCCTGAAAATCTCTTTCATTGCCTCTTTTGATGAAATGAACAACATTCCTACCAACTGACTGTATAATGCTACAGTTTCTCTCTGGCTTGCCTATTGCTTCCTATTGAACTCTCTGGGGGAATATCATGCCCCACTTTCAGATATGTTGCGCTCACTCTGGGTCATTAAGTCCTTCCCTCATCAATACCAATGGCACACAGAAGCAGTTCATGGCAGGTGTTTGCTTCTTCTGAGATGTGTTAACCTCAGGTCTTGTTGGACTGGTATTTACCACAATGGCTCTATTTTGTAGATTTAAAAACCTGACGCTCATGGGTTAGAAATGAGTAGGCCAAAGCTCTAATGAGGAAAATAACATAGAAAGACAATGAATTTCAGGCTGTTTTCAAGCTGCATTGGATTTTGTTGAGTTTTTGTTTTTTTTTTTTTCAAGTTGTGAAAGCAGTTTGTGTTTATTACTCTAAGACAAACAATACAGTTTCTTATAGGAGTTGGAAAGCAGGTACCAACCACCAGACCCATAGTACCTGCCTACTTGGAAGACTAATTACAATTGCAAAAACTACTCTTCATTGTGCTCTAGCTGAATATAAGGGTTTAACATCTTAATCTCTTAGAATTAAAATCTGCATGATATTCTGGCCCTCATCAACCCATAGTAAGAAGGCTCGTTAAAACCTGGGCAGAATATGAGGTGAAGCAAGACGGTGTTAGAGAAGGGTTCCTGATCATCCCCCTAGACAAGGACCAAGTTAACAGCTATCTACACAGAAAGAAACACCTTTATAAGAATCAATAAACAGGTTAGCACTCATAGTACCTGGTTTTAACTTCTTAGTGCTGAAAAAGGCACTGAAGAGATAGAAAGAAACAGTCTTGAGTCACTGACGCCACCCTTCTCCGACCCCTGGCAGCAGTGGCCTCGTGCAGAGAGCCTCTTTGGGGACTGGGTCAGGGAGAACACAGCAATTCTGAGACATTGAACTCAGTGCTGCCTTGTTAGAGCAGAAAGGCGAACTGGGTCAAACTCAGCTGATGTCTGCCTACACAGGGAGCATTTAAACCAGCGTTAAACAGAAGCCAATCATGGATCCCAGCAGTCAGAACTTGTGCCTGCAAATCTTACCACAGAGGGCTATAGTGCTCTGTGACTCCAAGTAAACTTGAAAGGCAGTCTAAGCCATAAGGACTGCAATTCTCAGACCAGTCCTGTGTTGAATTAGGCCCAGAAGCAGTGGACTGGGGTGGAGGGCAGGTGGATGCAACCTACTAAGACATCAACTGGGGCAGCCAAGGGAGTGCTGGCATAACCCGTCCCCTAACCCCAGGCTCCACAGGTCGTGGCTCCAAAAGAGACCCCCTTCTTCCACTTGAGGAGAGGAGAGGGAAAAGTGGATAGAACTTTGTCTCGCATCTTGGATACCAGCTCAGCCACACAGGATTGGACACCAGTCAGAGTTGTGAGGCCACTATTCCAGGCCCTAGCTTCTGGACAACATTTCTAAACACATCCTGGGCTAGAAGGGAACCCACTGCCTTAAAAGAAAGGACCAAGTCCTGGGAGCATTCATCACCTGCTAACTGAAGAGCCCTTGGACCCTAAATAACGAGCAGCAATACCCAGGTACTACATCAAGGGCCTTGGGTCAGCCTCTGGGACTTGCTGGCTTCAGGTGAGACTCAGCCATTCCCAGCTATAATGACTATGGGGCAAAACTCCTCCTGCTTGAGAAAAGCAGAGGCAGAAGTAAAGGGGAATTTGCCCTGAACCTTAGATACCAGCACAGTCACAGAGGGGCAGAGCATCAGACAGGCACTTGGGATTCCTGATTCCAAGACTTGACTCTTGGACAGCATTTCTGGACCTGACTGAAGCCAGCAGGGATCCCAGTGTCCTAGAGGGTGAGTTCCACGCCAGGCAGCATTCACCATGAGCTGACTGAAGTGCCCTTGGACCTTAAGGAAACATGGGAGGTAGTCCAGCAGTACTCCTTGTGGCCTGGGGTGGCAGTGGCTACAGGGAGAGGCTCCTTTGTCCTTGGAAAGGGGAGGGAAGAGTGCGAAGGACTGTGTCTCATGGTTTGAGTGCCAGCTCAGCCATAATACAGTAACACCAGATAGACTTCTAAGGTCTTTAACTCTAGTTCCTGACTCTTGGATAGCACCTCTGGACCCACGTGGGGCCTGGGGGACCTCACTGTCCCGAAAAGAAGAATACAAGCCTGGTTGGCTTTGCCACCTGATGATTGTAAAGCCCCAGGGACTTTAGAGAACACAGGCAGTAGCCAGGGAATGGTTACAGCAGGCCTTGGGCGAGACCCAGAGCTGTGTTAGATTCAGGTCTGACCCAGCCCAGTCATATTGCTGGTGGTGTTTGTGTCATTCCACCCCCAGCTTTATGTGGCTCAGAACAGAGAGAGAGATTTCATTTGTTTGGGAGAAAGTAAAGGAAGAGAACAAGAGTCTCTGCCTGGTAATCCCGAGAATTCTCCCAGATCTTGTCCAAGACGATCAAGTTGGTACCTCTATAAGTCTGCAAGAATCACAGTATTACTGGGCCTGGGGTGCCTCCTAAAGCAGATACAGCTTAGATACACCCAATTATTTTCAAATATCTAGAAAGCCTTCCCAATAAGGATGGCTACAAATAATCCCAGACAGTGAAGACTATAATAAATAACTAACTCTTCAATGCCCAGATACCAAAGAACATCTACTAGCATGAACACCATCCAGGAAAACATGACCTTACCAAATGAACTAAATAAGGGACCAGGGACCAATCCTGGAGAAACAGAGATATGTGACCTTTCAGATGGAGAATTCAGAATAACTGCATTGAGGTAACTCAAACAAACTCAAGATAACACAGAGAAGGAATTCAGAATTCTATCACATAAATTTAACAGAGATTGAAATAATTAAAAAAAATCAAGCAGAAATTCTGGAACTGAAAAATTCAGTTGGCATACTGAAGAATGCATCATATTTTCCTTTAATAGCAGAACTTATCAAGCAGAAGAAAGAGTTAGAGAGCTTGAAAACAGACTATTTGAAAATACACGGTAAGAGGAGACAAAATTTAAAAAATAAAAAACATTGAAGCATGCCTACAGGATCTAGAAAATAATCTCAAGGGCAAATCTGAGACTTATTGGTCTTAAAGAAGAGGTTGAGAAAGATATATTGGCAGAATGTTTTTTTCAAAGGAACAATACCAGAGAACTTCCCAAACCTAGAGAAAGATATCAATATCCAAGTACAAGAAGGTTATAGAACACCAAGCAGATTTAACCCAAAAAAGACTACCTCAAGGCATTTAATAATCAAACTCCCAAAAGTCAAGGATAAATAAAGGATCCTAAAAGCAGCAAGAGAAAAGAAACAAATAACATAAAATGAAACTCCAATATGTCTGGTAGCAAACTTCAGGGGAAACTTTACAAACCAGGAGAGAGTGACATGACATATTTAAAGTGCTGAAGGAAAACAAAAACAAAAACAAAAATATTTTACCCTAGAATAGTATATCAGGCAGAAACAGCCTTCAAACATGAAGGAGAAATAAGTATTTTCTCAGACAAACAAGAGCTGAGGGATTTCATCAATACCAGACCTTTCCTACCAGATGTGCTAAAGGGAGTACTTCCATCAGAAAGAAAAAGAAGACGTTAATGAGCGATAAATAATCACCTGAAGGTACAAAACTCATTGGTAA